ATTTGTGCACAAACTTGATCAACCCACTATGTTTGCTTTGTTGAGTGTTGAACAATCTCCTCCATTTTACGGAGAAAGGAAGGGTCACGAGCACCAACAAGAGGAGCAATTGATTTGATTAGGAGGTCCATCTTGGGGAAGGATCTCTCGGTGTCCAAAATGCTCCACGAGAAGCCTCAATTAACTGTTCGGATCTTGACATGGAGCATAGCATGGGTCTGTAGAATGGCCCTTGAAGGCCGCCATGGCTAACTCCAACACCGATGACCTCTCTGAGTGTGGAAGAAATTCCTCTTGATAATGAAAATTTTCTTGAAATGTCCAAGGGTATGGTTGTTCTTTGTAGTAGGGGGTTGGTACTGCAATCCGAATCCATAGTCTTCTCCTCCATGAATGCTCCATAAAGTCTCGGGGTAATACCACTCGGGTGGTGGTGGATACCCCCAATGGTTGGAGAAGCCATTAGGATCCATGATTCATATCTGCATCAATAAAAACAAAGACACCCAAGTGAAAATCAAGGGTGGAAAAGAAAAACAATATAAAGAAAAGCTAAATTAACAAACTTTTGCTTCTTCTAATAATCCAGAACTCCCGACAATGGTGCCAAAAACTTGACTAGCTACTACGCAACTCCTAACAGTGGCCAATGTAACCAATGAAAGGGTCTGCAGTATAGACATAGTGGTGCAAGTAATAAATATCGAATCCACGAGGTCTCTAGATTTACTATTACTCAGCTTCAGCTTGTTATCTAGCAAATCAGATTAAGGCTTGATTAACTAAACTACTCCTACAAGCTACTATAGGTTTGACTACTAATTATAGGTAGGGAACTCACTTAGATATGATTCCCCCTAGCCTCTAGCTAGATTAATGGTTGATGATCTCTAACTTGTTTCACTTTCATTTACAATACAGAGAATCCTTGACTAGACCTTGAATCTCGACTAAAGAAATCAAGGCCCTCTTGAGTCGATTGCCTAGAGGGACGCATCCTTCTCTAGAACAACAGATTAAGGCGTTCTGAACTAGATGCCATCTATCGAATAAGGTTCTCAATCATTACAAGGCAGTGAATCGACCCTCGACTAAAGAAATCGATCCAATACTATCAATCTATGACGCTCTATTGACCTAATCAGGTATTCTCTCATAATTGAATCATGAAAACATTCATAGATTGAATATGAACTCAAGATTATCAAATAGGTGTACTCTTACAATCATCCAATAAAAGAAACATAGCTAGGGTTCCTCGTTAACTAAGTGAAGGGAAGTTACTCCATAGAGAAGAGAGAGAATGCAGAAATCTGGTCTAGATCTTCAATCTCCATCTCCAAGCTTGATTCCCGAGCTCCAAATGGTGACGAAATCCTCCAAAATAGCTCCAAGAATGATCCCAAGGTGCTCTCTCTCTCTCTCTCTAGGGTTCGTCCCTTGGGTGTTTGAGATCCAAAATCCAGCTCCCCCCTCTAATTTCCCGTGTTTGGCTTATAACAGCCCGAGTTAGTCATACCCAGTCGGGTATTTATAAGATCATAATCAATATCATCTGGGAACTGAGGCATCAGACACGGATCAGAGGAGATAAACGGGGAAGACTCGGTCGACTCAGAAAAGAACATGAGACGCTCAAAGAAAGTGACATCACAAGATATACGAAGACGGGACACAGAAGGATCATAACACAGGTACCCTTTATGAATGTCACTATACCCTAGGAAGACACAACATGCCATTTTGGAGGAAAGTTTGGATCGTTCTCTGCGAGGAAGAAGAACAAAGCGCGTACATCCAAACACATGAAGACGAGAATAATTCGGATGTTTCTGGAACAAGGTAAAATGTGAACTGGACTGACCAAGGACATGGGTAATCGGATAGTTAATGAGAAGAACAACAGTGGGAACAGCCTCAGGCCAAAACCGAGAAGGAACACATGAAGTGAGAAGTAATGCCCGAGTAAGTTCGACCATGTGTCTATTCTTTCGCTCGACCAAGCCATCCTGTTGAGAAATCCCAGGGTAGGATTTTTAAGCGAGAGTGCCTTGAGAACGAAAAATAGAAGCCAAAGGATGAGAGCTAAACTTCCCATCCGCATCCGACCTGATAATACGAACTGTACGAGCGAACTGAGTCTGTATCATTTTTAAAAACTATGTAGCAACAATTAACAGGTCGGACTTGAGACTCAAGTAGTAGACCCCGTAAACCTAGTAGCATGGTCAAAAAAATAAGACAAAATACTTGTAACCATGACGATAAGTAGTAGGGGAGGGGCCCCAAAGGTCGGTATGCACCACATGAAACGGATAAGAAATGACGGTGGTAGTAGATGGAAAAGAGCTATGAGTGGCTTTAGCCTCTACGCAACTAGTACACATAAAATCGTGGGAAGAGCTATCAACCTTTTTAATTCCAAATAGATGTTTGTTAAACATGGTTACAAGTCTATTCTTGTGAGGGTGACCTAATCGAGAATGCCACAAATCAAAATCCCCATGACGCTGACTCGAAAAAGTAGAAGTAGTAGACACCGAAGCAAGACCCGAAACAAAACCCCTACACACCAAGGGCGACGACTCATAAACCGAAAAGAATGGCTGACCTGAGAGCTCTTCCAACGTGGAAGTACGTCCCTGTTTACTCCCCCTTCCGATCACCCAATTTGTCGTCTGATCATGAACAACACAACCAGAAGAGTCTAACACAACATACATATTTTGATCAGTGAGCTGTCCAACCGAGACCAAATTTGCGACCAATTGAGGAACATATAACATGTTCGGAAAACAAAGACCTTGTGACGCAACATTACCAATACCCTCAACACCCAGCCGCTGCCCATTAGCCACTTGAATCAACACATTTTGGACGGGAGCAACAAAACTCATATGTTGACGACAACCAGACATATGATCGAAACAAGCCGAATCCAGGAGCCAAGGCTTAGAATATTTACTTGCAAGTTGAAGAGAGGCAAAGGCAGAGGAGATCGCAGTAGGGAGCGACAGTTGAAGATTTTCATTCTCCATTCGCTCAATGGCATCAGCATCCACCAATGGAGAATAAGCAGCCTGAGCAGAGTCCACGACAGGAGCAGGAGCTTACTCGGCCATGTACTGAACAGCATATGCGCCACCGGCAGAAGGAGAAGACTGATTTCGAGGCTTGATCAACCCACAATCCGAGATAATGTGTCCATTCTTCTTGCAATAATAACGAAAATTCTTTTGACGACAAAACTTCTGAACATGACCAGGTTTGCGACAGTAGTAACAAACAACTTCAGACACCGGAACCCAGCGTTGAAATTGAGGGTGATCCACTGCAAAAGCATTAGAAGCCACCATCGAGGACCACCTAGCTGGAATAGGTGACGATTTGACTGCAAAAGCTGGATCCGCAGAGCCTGGGCGAACATCAATCTTTGCCTGTGTCTGAAGACAAGTTTCCTTGCGAATGAGATTACTCAGCACCCCATCCCGGCCATTTGAGATTTTCTCGATTAACCAAAGACGAGCGAACAGATTCAAACTTCGGTCGTAATTTGGAAAGAAACTGAAGCATATGGGATTGATTGCAATCGGCAAGAATTGCAGCAGATGCGAAAGCCGATCCGGACAATGAAGCATCGAGCAAATCCTGTTCAGTCCACATAAGCTTGCGGCATTGTAGTAGGACTCCACATCCATATCCCCCTGATGAAGACGGGAGAGGGCGAACTGAGTATCAAAATAGCGACTGGTGGTGTTGGTATTATAAGTGGCCGCCAAGTCATTCCACATCTCATGTGCAGTGGTGAATAGACGAAGCCCAAGGATATCGAGGGATCAACCGAGCCGAGCAGCCACGAGATGATCCCCACATTGTTCTACATCCAACGAGTGTCTTCCTTATCTGTAGAAGGTGGAACCATAGGCTGGGGAGCAGTACCATCCAAAACCGAAAGAAGACAACGACCTTCAACAATCATCCGAAATTGAAATGCCCATAGCGAATAGTTCTTCGAGTTCAGCCGAACATAAATACTTTCTGAATCGAGCGATGAAATCTCCGATACCATGTAGCTTATCAAACCTGAAACCAAATCAAAGCAAATATCGGAAGAAAATCAGAAAGCAAGACACACTATTTAGAAAATCCGGGGTAAAACCAATTGGGTTTAGAAAACTCAAACCCAACTCAACCCACTGGGTATTCGCAGGTTCATGGGTACCCATGGATTTTTGTGGTAAAAAATTTACAATAACAAGTTCCTATCAAAATAAAATTCAAACATCAATTTCCCCATACAAATTATCCATACATAAATACAATTCTACAAAATTCAAACATATCACAATTACACTAAATAAATTCACACGGAATAAGTGTAGTAAGAGTTAGATTGGAGGAAATTAGAATTAAGGTAGGGTTTGGAGAGAGTAAGGCAACGAAATAAGTGTGGGCAGGTATCCATGGGTCGGGTACCCCTAAACATAAACCCAACCCAACCCGATGAATAGTGTTCGGGTTTAAACCCAAATACGATCCGAAACCCGTCAACACGAGTAAAACCCGCGTTGACCGGGTTGAGTCAGATAGAGTACTTGTGTGTTCGGATTTTGTTGCAATCCCTATGCTCAAGTTGTTGATCGGTTTGTACATCCTGGCGTGAGGTGCTGGAGTACGAAGTAAATTTTTTGACTGAAGGGAAATTTCGGTCATACCCAAAAGCAACCGAAATGTTCCTTATCTCATGACTAGGAGGAGATACTGATCGAGAGATCAAATAAAGTGAGAAAATTTCGTAAACTCTAGTTCTTAAATCGTTCAATATATGGTGAAGTTGCAACAATTTTTCCGCAATGTCTTAGTCCGGCCACAATCTTACAATAGTTTTGGATCTCGTACACTCCTTATTACATTCCCCATTCTGCCTTAATTTTAGATCTGGATATTTATGCATTGACAAGTAAAAAGTAACTCATGGGCATAGTCGCATTCACATAGATTAGAGTGTTAAATAGTTGACCTATTTGTCCAAAACATTGATAAATAACTATCTCCTCAACCTCAAATTATGTTTCCTTTGTTTACATTCATGAATATCAAATAAAAGAATCAATTTTTTTGAACCTAGCGTTTTTCCTAATTACAAAGTATACAAAAAACAATAAAAGAAATAATTTTCTCTTAGTGCTTGGGCCTGATTTCGATGCCATGGACAATAAGCCCAGCTTTCAGATGGTGGCCCTTCACTTCCTTCAAGCCCATCTTCACTTCCTCGCTCTTTTCCCCGCTAAAGAATTCCCCAATCTCAATTTCGAACCAACCGTCTTCCCTCTCCGCCGGCAACTTCCCTTCTCCCCCACCGCCGGCCACCATCGACTTCAGCGCTTCTGTCCGGTGTCCATACATCAACGTTTCCATAAACTCCACGTGACTGTTTTTCCGTCGCCGTAAGTACGCCGTGTTTAGGCATTCTTCTTTGTTACCCACCTGAACCGATACTTCGGATGGCATCAAATCGAGACCAAAAGCTCGGTCGGAAATTTTCATTACGAGGTAGGCTCCGTATTTGGTGTTGGGAGTTAGCATTTGGGTGTTGATCTTGCCTTGGATCTCGAGCCACGACATTGTTCGGAGCACTGCAACTTCCGAGAATCTGAAAAGAACAAGTGATTGCCAAGTCAGAAATTATGAGCAACGATCCAAATTGGCAAAAAGTTCATTTCTTTTTGAGTTTCAAAATTTTGTTCACAGAAAATTTAGCGTCTGTTTGTTTCCCGAGAAAAAAATTCCCTACCTTGATTCGGGAAGCGGAGTCCAAGTCCAGTACATCGATTCACTGCTCCAAGTTATGGAAAGATCTCTCGCCGACAATTCGTAACATTTCTTCCCGGACAATTTCTCCAGCTTCAACCTCTGCAAATCCAGAAGAAGAAGCAAATTAATCGCCGAACAGAAATCATTTAGTGAATTCCTTCAATCCAATTAGTAGATAGAAAATAAATTTACAAAAAAGCCTACCTTTCGGCCGCCGTCGATGAGAACAGAGTCGCAGAGCTTGCGGTAGAGCTCCTTCTTGGAGGAGAATTCAAGGCCCGGAACGGAGTCGGCGACAATGCGGTGGTAATCGGAAGGGAGGAACTTCTCCCAGACAACGTCGGAGTCTGCGGCGGATTGAAACTCGGGGGAGACCTTGGACGAGCGGCAGGCGTCATGTGGGGAAGTGAAGGAGAGGATCGAGGAGAGACAATCTTCCGGCAGCGCCTTGATCAACTCCATTTCTTGTTTCTATTTATATTTCGTCGCTAAAAAAGTCAGAAATATGGTCCCTAAAAATGATTAGTGAGGTGGAGATAAGGGAATATGGAGAACAGAGAAGGGCCTTTGGGTTTGAAAGCAGGGGATGGATTGAATTGAATTTGGATAAATGGGGTTTCTTTGAAGTATTTATAGCAGTAGCTGGAGAGAGAGAGAGAGAGAGAGAGAATGAAAGAATTGGGAAGGTTCATACTTCATTGGTCAAAGCCAGGCAGCTCCTCCAAGTGGGAATTTTTGTAGTGGAAGATTTTTTTTTTTTTTTTGTTCTTTTTGTTTTGTTTTTAATTTTTATTGTAGAATTACTTTCTTGTTTTTATAATCAACTACTATTTTTTAATGTGACAGAGAGTGAGCTTAAAGGGTTGAATTTATATATCCTAAATCAACTTGTTGATTGAGTGGGATTTTAGGAGGATGTAGTCTACAATTTCCATATGATATGCTTTTCCTAATATGCCTTGATGTGTATGGGGCATGTGTTAATTAATCATATCACCACACAAGAAAAAAAAAAGGGATTTGCAACAAGTATCCCACTAATCATATTAGGAGAGACTAAATCATATTTCGGACCACCATGGACAAGAGACCACTGTACTTGTTACATGTTTTAATTTGTTTTGGTTTCATATACAATCCAAATTGTTGTGTCATTTGGAATTACATCTTTCGCTTCGTAATTCTTTTAATGTATTTGTCTAATTGTGAATCACGATTTATTCAATATATATTCTGATCTTCAGTAGTGCAATCACCATATAAGACTATAATTTTAAGTGATTATCTCTTTCAATGCATGCACGAGTCATGATGAACAAGTACGTCTGGGAGTTTCATAAATACCTTCTATGTACGATGTATCCAATTGAGGAAAGCAAAACAATGAAATGTAACTTGAAATAAGAATTGAGATATTAATTAGTTACGTGCTCTTGTTTAGAACAGGAAATTAATTAGTGGCTTTCTTGATCAATTCCATGAAATTATGGATATCACTTATAAGTTGATGAATTCCATCAAAATATTTTTAAGTAGAAGTCCCAAATTTATGGACCACAAAAACGACATTGTAGATTATCTTTCTGGCAAACCAAACAACATTATGTAATATGGCCAGATATTCAGAGATATATATGTTTAGTATTTATTTAAAGGATACTTATCATTAAATCCTCCCTATTACAAATGGAAAAGGTTAGGTACAAATCTTAGAACCGTAAAACCTACAAATATGGTGTTTTACCACCCATAATACAACTCATAGTCTCATACCAACATGATATGATCAATTTTTCTTCTTCGTTGAATTAGTTGCTTTGTATTACCAAACTATATGCAATGTACATTTAGGAACCAACACAACGAAAGGAAAGCTCAAGGTGAGCAGCCCTATGAAACAATGATTATATAGTTAAATTGATTGAAAGACTGAAAGAGCCAAATAGTTAAATTGATTGTCCTGATCGATCGATGACAAATATCCATTATAGTTACCGTACATAATAACCTTAACCATCATATACGTTAATGTTTTTTTTTATCATTCTCATATGGATTTCTTGTGCCGAAAAAGGTCAAGGAGAAGGCGGCGGAGCGGTGGAAGAACTCCCTTATAGGGTAGTTCGTAGGGACTCGGCCAAAGATACCAGAGCTTCAGTCTTGGGCAAATGCTCTTTGGGGCCGAGATGGCATAGTCAGAGTGTCAAAATTTGGAGCGAAGCTGCTAGTGTTTCAGTTCCTTCCGCTACTTCGTGCAATTGGGTTTTCCAGTTGGGGCCTTGGCACTTCAGAGGTAATCCGATTTTCTTTCGAAAATGAAAATCAGGTATCCAACCAATTGTTCCTAAGGTTGAAACTCTGCCGATCTGGGTAAGAATCTGGGGACTCCCTCTAGAATATCTTGCTCCGGAAGGTTTGTAATGGGTTGCAAGCATGATTGGGCGTCTGTTCTGGATGGATCAGAAGACGAGGGTAGAGGGCAGTTAGGTTTTGCTCGTGCGTGTGTTGAGCTTGCTGCTGACTATTCTTTTCCGTCTTCTATTCGTATTTACCCAGATGAAGACCCTCCGTTTGATATTCAAATTGAGTATAGCAATCTTCCACAGGTGTGCACTAAATGTTGTGTGTTTGGACATAACTGTGAAGTGGGTCCTAAGTGTGTGTGGGTTCCTAAGGCTCCCAAGATTAACGAGGCTACTCAAGAAGAGAAGTCAGATGATAGTGTGGAAGTTGTTGAGAACAATGAGGTTGGTTTTGTTGAAGATATTCTTAACGAGGTTCAAGCAAGTGTTATTCAGAGTATATTAGACAGTCCGACTATGAAGTGGTAGCTCAGACACATGTGGATGAGCCATTACAGTTTGCTTCTATTGTGGAGGATGTTGTCTCCCCTACATTACAGACTGCTTCTATTGTGGACGATACTGTCTCCCCTTCATCAAATGGGGGGGGGGGGGGGCTCGAGTTAGCTTTGCAGAGATTGTGAAGGGGTCATTAGCTACAATTGGGAGCCCTAGCACACCTTCGCAAAAGTCCGTTGGTACTAAGTCGTCTTCAGTTGAAGGGAGCTTAAAACCTCAGACGACTGCTCGAGCTGAACAGACTGGTTCCCGCTTTGCGATTCTGGATAAGGAAAATAGAATCCCCCCAAGTGCTGCAGACAAAGGTAAGAAGATATGGATTGATCCTCCAGATGTTAGAGATAATAGGAAGAAAGAGGGGAAAGGTGGTGGAAGAGGTAAGGGTCGTAAATGAAGATTCTCTCATGGAATACTAGAGGATTTGTTGCGGATAAAAAATATACAGCTATATTAAATAAAATAAATAACAATAGTTTAGATATTGTTGCTATTTTGGAGCCTCGGGTAAGAAGACTGGAAGCTAAGAAGCTGAAGCAGAAAAGGTTTGATGGTTGGGGTCAGGAAATCTTGTTCAATGATGAAGGTCTGGGGAAAATCTGGCTTGTATGGCGCTCTGGGATTCAGCTGTCTATTACAGGGAGTTCTGATCAATTTGTTCAAGTCTTGATTGGGGGCAGAAATCCTTTCTTTGCTACCTTTGTGTATGCCTCTAACAGTGAGAGCCAGAGGGAAGTGCTTTATGCCGAAGTTGCTTGGATTAAGGTGGAAAATATGCCTTGGATTCTTTTAGGTGACTTTAATGCTATAAGGGATCCGAGTGAAGGCTCAAATACTCCTATGTACTCTACAAGTATGAGGTCTTTCAATGACTGGTTGAGAGCTATAGAAGAATAGGAGCATAAGTCTACTGGGCCTTGGTTTACTTGGCTCAATAAGAGGCAAGGCAATCCTATTGCTCGTAGGCTTGATAGGGCGTTTATTAATCTGGCATGGTTGGATGAGTTGAAGGATAGTGTTGTCCCGTTACAAACACCTGGGGCATCAGATCACTGTCCGGTTTTTGTTCAAACTGAGGTTCCTATAAAGTCACTGCCTAAGCCATTTAAATTTTTTAATTTCTGGCTAGGGCATCCATCTTATGAGGGACTGCTTACTCAGGCATGGAATGAAGTAGGGGGGGGGGGTTTCTCCTTTGATCAGGGTATATAAGAAGCTAAGGATTCTTAAAGGTTTACTCAAAAAGCTTAATAGGGAAGAGTTTTCTCATATCAGTGGCAGAGTGAGAGATAAGGAAAGGGAATTGTAAGACATTCAATTGGCTGCTCTCTCAAGTCCATCTCAACTGAATTTTGAGGTTGAAGTCAAGGTTACTAAGGAACTGTTTGATCTGATCCAAGCTGAGGAAGTTTTTCTGAGGCAGAAGTCCAGAGAGTTGTGGTTAAAAGTGGGGGATACAAATTCAGGCTATTTTGATAGGTCAATGAGAACAAGGCTTCAAAGGAACACAATCGCTTCTCTTAAAGATGCTCAGGGTAATACAGTGACTTCCATGGAAGAAATGAGTCAGGTGGCCATTGATTTTTATATGTATCTGTTGGGGAGAGCTAACCCTCATGTTGAGATGGAGGAAGTGGACTTCTATAGGGGTTTGCTAAGGCATAAGCTTAATGCTACACAGGTGACCTCTCTCTGTGATCCTATCACTGCTTCCGAGGTTAAAGACGTGATGTTTAGTTTTAATGGAGACAAGAGTCTTAGTCCAAACGGGTATAATGCTAGATTTTTTCAAGCTTCTTGGGGAGTCAATGGGGGTGAAATCACTTCTGCTATCCAGAGTTGCTTTGTGTCTGGGAAGATGCCTAGAGAGGTAAATGCTATTATCCTTGCTCTGATCCCTAAGATCCAAAACCCGGATGAGATGAAATTTTTTAGGCCTATTTCATGTTGCAACATAATCTATAAATGCATATAAAAAATTATAGCCAAACATATTTAGTGCTCTTCTCCCCTTAGTAATTAGCAAGAATTAGACTGCATTTGTTAAAGGGAGGGTTATTGGTGAAAATATTCTTCTTGCTCATGAGCTAGTGCACAAGTACTCTAGGAAGAATATTTCCACTAGGTCAGCTCTGAAAATTGACCTAATGAAGGCGATTGATTCTGTGAACTGGCAATTTTTATTTGCTGTGTTGGAAGCCATGGGAGTTCCTAGTCAGTTTATTGATTGGATTAAGATGTGTGTCACTAGCCCTATGTTGAGTATTGCATTTAATGGGGGTTTAGTTGGTTATTTTCTTGCTAAGCAAGGCTTGAGACAGGGTGACCCGCTTTCTCCATATTTGTTTACTGTGGCTATGGAGGTTTTCTCCTGCCTTTTGGATCTTGAAGCAAAGAAGGAGAGGTTTCCTTTTCATCATCCAATGTGAAAAAATAGAGTTGACACACATATGTTTTACTGATGGCCTTTTGGTCTTTTCTGATGGATCAAATTATAGCATACAGAGTGTGTAGAGAGTACTGAGTGTTTTTCATAAGCTTTCTGGCCTCCAATCCAATCCTAGTAAATGTGAAATTTTCTTTGGTGGGTTAGACAAGGATGAAATGGTGGCTAGGGCCAGCAGATATGGCTATCATTTGGGGGGGGGGGGGGTTCCTAGTGAGATATTTGGGAGTACCTTTAGTGGCTGAGAAACTCTCAGTTAATGCTTGCAGACCTCTCATTGATAGAATTACGAGTAGGGTGCAGGGGTGGAAAGCTAAAGCTCTAAACTATGCTGGCAGGGTTGAACTAGTTGGTTC